TGCATGAGTAGCAAGCAACTTGAATGACAGGTTTATTGTTGTTGCTAAAGATGGCTGACAATGGTGATGAGTTTACAAATTTCGCGAATTTGAATGACAGGTTTATTGTTGTTGCTAAAGATGGCTGACAATGGTGATGAGTTTACAAATTTCGCGAATTTGAATGACAGGTTTATTGTTGTTGCTAAAGATGGCTGACAATGGTGATGAGTTTGATCTACAATTTACATGTATCATTGCTCGACTCATTGAATATTACTACAACACGTATGTTCATAAGAATCCGTGTATGAACTCTTCACAAACGGGAAACATGTGGGTGACGAAATTATTAAGAGGGCATGAAATTAGAAGTTATATGATGTTTAAAATGGATAAGAACGTGTTTTTGAAGCTATGTAATGATCTACAGAGTAAGTATGGATTACAAGGATCAAGGAATATGTGTGCGACTGAAATACTTGGAATGTTTTTATTCATTTTGGGTCAGGGTGCGGGGAATCGTTCAGCACAAGAGCAATTTCAACGCTCTAGTGAGACTGTGAGTAGATATTTTAATTATGTTTTAGAAATTGTATGTTGTATGAGCATCGATATTATACAGCCTCCAGATCTAGAGTTTAATGACATACCAATAGAGATACTGACGGATCGTAGATATATGCCACATTTTAAGGTAAAATCATACTTTTAATATGCTTCATTCCCTACTAAAAGCATACTTTTTATATGCTTCATTCCCTATTAAAATTATGTTTATTTATACATTAAAAATTCTTCTTTTTAGAATTGTATTGGTGCGATAGATGGCGTGCATATTCAAGCTACAATACCACCAGAAGATTAGGTGCCATTTATCGGAAGAAAGCGTGTGCCAACCCAAAATGTGATGGCTGCTTGTGATTTCAGTATGAAATTTATATATGCATATGCAGGTTAGGAAGGTAGTGCCCATGATACAAGAATATTCTTATCAGCACTACGTAACCGACATTTGAAATTTCCAAAACCACCTGAAGGTTAAAACATTGCCTATATTTTATATTATATATGTTTTACATTTTACTAATTCTCGTGTTTTTATTTTAATAGGTAAATATTATTTAGTTGACGCGGGTTATCCACAATTGAAAGGATTTCTTGGACCTTATAAAGGAGAACGATACCATTTACCACAATTTTGAATGGGTCGTCGACCAATGGGCAGTAAAGAGGTATTCAACCAAGCACATTCTTCTCTTCGAAGTGTAATTGAACGCACTTTTGGTGTTTGGAAGAAAAAATGGAAAATTTTGAGAGACATGCCTAATTATTCATTTAAGAAGCAAGTAAAAATAGTTATTGCAACAATGGCGCTTCATAACTATATTAGGATGCATGATCAGCGTGATCGGCATTTTCAAGAAGTCGAGGCTAATCTAGATGTTTTCGCTTATGAAGAGCATCAACTGGAGGATAATGTAGAAGAAGATGAAGCTTCACTATCACAAGAAATGGTTGAAGTACGAGATCAAATTGCGACAAGTTTAATGAACACGGCTTAATTCTTTTAATGGCTATATCAGTTTTTGAACATGGAATGTACTTTTTTGTTCAACAAATTGATTACTCACTAATACTCCTTGTAGTGAGTAATCAATTTGTATACTTTTGTATAACGAAACAATTTATAATGATTTAGGAATCATATACTTTTTTCTTTTTGTAATATACTTTATTATTACTTTATTATTACTATCTCTGTGTGAATTATAATTAATTATCATGAAAAAAAAAGAATTAATTATCATAAATTTATTGTTAAAAAAGCAAAATCATAGCATTATGTTTTTTTTTAAAGTTAAATAAATATTTCTAAATATAAAAAATAATTATATATATTTAACTTTCATATCATGTCTATTTTGGTCATTTTACATATCCACAGCAATTCAACATCAAAATTTACCAAACGCTATTACACTGATTTTAGAACCAGCACATCTACTATAATTACAATTTACCAAACACTCAGTTGATTCTTGTAATAGCAGCTTCTTCCTTCAGCACAGCTAAAAGTAATTTTTTTAAAATCCGCAGCAATACCAAACCCACCCTGAGCCAATCCATTTTACGATTCTATCCATGATCAAATTCATGGAGTTTTTTTTTTAAAAAAAATTTTATTTAGAGGGAAATTTGATCAATAACTAGATACAGACTTTAATGTAATCACAAATAACCATGAAATTCTAAAGTATTCAATCACAGATAAAAACTAAATTTATTAATGAAGACGAATCAGATACAAAGACGAATAAAGTGCTAAGATCATTAGGAAAAGACCTGCTCAATACATTAATTATCGAGCACAACAAAAGATCATTTGACAAAACCACTAAGTCACTAAGGGTTTGTTCGTTTGCACCAAAACTCAAAAAAAGTTTGAACTCAAGTTACAACTTTATTCAAGTTCATGTTCTTGTATAAAATTTAAGTTTGAACTTAAGTTTGAACTTGAATTTTAACTTGAGTTTTGAGTAAAAATCTGAGGGCATGTTCTTTTGGAGTGTGACTTGAGTGTAATTTTTTAGTTGAATTTGAGTCATAACTTGAGTTAAAGTTGTAACTTGAGTTTGTGTTTGGTTGTGTACATTTGAGTTATGGTTTGAGATAAGAATCTTTTTGAGTTTGTGTTTGAGTGAGTCAAAACTTGAATTTGTATTTAGATAGTATTTTAATAAAAACTCAATGGTGATAAAACATTTTAATAGGGTATTTGGGTGGGGTTTTATTCATCTTTTCGTTGTCAACGCATAGAAAAAAAATCATCTCAATCAGGATTAAAACGAAAAAGTTATAGCATTTTTAAGAATAGAAAAAATACCGTTCATTAATTTGAGTTCGAGTTTTTGAACTCGAGTTGAAGGGGAAACTTGAACTCGAGTTTTGGTCCCAAACTCGAGTTCAAACTCGAGTTCAGACTTAAAAGAACATGAACTTGAATAAAGTTGGAACTCGAATTATCTTTTTTTGAGTTTTTGAGACTGCCGAACAAGCCCTGAGTTCAAGTTCTCCTCCAACTCAAGTTTCTAAACTCAAACTCAAGTTAATGAATAATAATTTTTCTATTCTTAAAAACACTATAACTTTTTCATTTTAATTCCGATTAAGATGATTCTTTTTCTTATGCGTTCACAACAAATAAATGAATAAAACCCCACCTATATACCCTATTAAAATTTTTCATCATCATTGAGTTTTTATTAAAATACTATCTAAATACAAACTCAAGTTTTGACCCACCCAAACACAAACTCAAAAAGATTCTCATTTCAAACCATAACTCAAATGTACACAACTAAACATAAACTCAAGTTACAACTTTAACTCAAGTTATAACTCAAATTCAACTTAAAATCTACACTCAAGTCACCATAACTCAAAAATATAATTGAACAAACCCTAAATAAACACAATCGATCAAAATCAAAAGACTCAGAGCAGGGTCACCAACAACAACTAGACAACCACCAACATGAAGGGTGATGCGAGTTCTTTTGTTATTACATAACAAACCATAAACACTGTAAAAACACAAAGATTAGATCTACTAGTGAAGATGAATGAGATACAAAGGTGAACATGAGTGCTGAGATCATTAGGGAAAAGACCTGAACACGAGAAAATGTCATTTGACAAAACTACTAAGTCAATAAATAAACATAGTCAAGCAAGACCAAAAGATCTAGAGCACTAAGGTTACTCTCAACAACGAGACTAACCACTCACATGAAGGATGAGGCAAGTTCTTTTATTATTGTACAATGAAACAATTAACACTACAAAAACACAAAAAGACACGGAGTCAACAAAAATCAAAATTGTCTTTATTATATTGAAAATAAAAACAAAAAAATAAGATAAAAGTCTCGAACCACCACGTGGACAAGATCACCAACAATAAGTTGGCCAACATAACTATATAGGACAAATTAGTAAGGACCCGTACAACTCCACCACTAGTGTTGAGCACCTATCCAAGCATAACCTCCACCTCTATAACCACCACAAAAGAGCAAGATCCCAAATTACAGAATCATCGAAAATCATATGTGCACAATATGGTCAGCAAAAAAGCATGGTCCCTCCCATTGATCCCCTCCGGCCTCAAAGTTGCCACCAGCACCATGATAATCTCCATAGCACCTAGAGCCCCATCTTTAGGGTCGAAGGCTTAGTCGCCAACTAAGAGACAACACCAGACTCAGACCCTATAAGACAGAAGAAAGTAGTGTAAAAAAAAGAAATGAAACCCTAACGTTTTCTTTTGTATTCCCTCTCATCTTACTTCTTCTTTCTCTCTCTCTCTCTCTTTTTTGTTGGTAGAAAAAGAATGGGAGGGCTTATTTTTGCTTTTCTCATATAAAACTACACATAAAAAAATTATGGGTAAATTGCATAGATATTTCCCAAATTTTTTAGTAAGTGATAGTTTGGTCCCTAATCTTTTTTTATTGATAAAACGATCTCTAAACTCTTTAAAAGGTAACAGTTTGGTTCTTTTCGCCAAATTCTATTAAATTTTTAACATAACATATCACGTGACCCATTACGTGACTCTTTTTTTCAATAAAATGATTTAAATGTCCCATTAGAAAAGCCTTCTTCTTCTTCTATTTTTGGGGAAAAAAGAGAAGAAGAAAAAGGTTTTTCTACTGGGGGTATTTAAGTCATTTTATGAAAAAAAGAGTCACGTGATGGGTCATATGACATGTTATGTTAAAACTTTAACAAAATTTGACGAAAAGAATCAAACTGTCATCTTTTAAAGAGTTTAAGAGTCGTTTTGTAAAAAAAAAAAAAAAAAAAAAAAAAAAAAAAAAAAAAAAAAAAAAATAAAAATTACAAAAAAAAAAAAAAAAAAAAAAAAAAAAAAAAAAAAAAAAAAATTAAGTATTAAACTATCACTTACGAAAAAAATTTTGGACACCATATGCCCAATTTACCCAAAAATTATAAATGACAAAACGACGCCCGGAAATACAAGCAAAAACCCACGACTAAAACCCTACACCATCTTCCACACTCAGAACTTGCTCTTCCAGCCCCAGCTCCGAACTCCCAAAACCCTTGGAAAAAGAACCAAAAATGGCGTCTTCAATCCGCCATCTCCGCCGCCTCTCGACCGCCGCGAAACCCCCAATCTCCATCTCCAGAGCCAAAACGATGCTCCGAGGCGAGCACGATCCGGACAAAGCCCTCGAGATCTACTCCTCCGTCTCCGACCGCTACTCCTCCCCTACCATCTCCCGCTACGCCCAGGACCTCACCGTCCGCCGCCTCGCCAAGTCCCGCCGCTTCGACGACATTGAATCCTTCCTCGAGTCCCACAAAAAGGACCCCAAAATCAAGCAAGAGCCCTTCTTGTCGTCCCTCATAAGGTCGTACGGCCAGGCCGGGATGTTCGGCCACGCTTTGAAGACCTTCGAGCAGATGGAGGAGTTGGGAACTCCGAGGTCGGCGATCTCTTTCAACTCCCTCTTGTCCGCTTGTAACCAGTCGAAGCTTTTCGATAAGGTCCTCCAACTGTTCGACGAAATTCCCAAGAAGTACGGAGTATCTCCGGATGGAATCTCGTACGGGATTTTGGTAAGGGCGTATTGCCAGAAGGGAGAGACTGATAAAGCTATGGAAACTCTGTCGGAAATGGAGAAGAATGGGGTTGAAGTTAGTGTCGTGGTTTATACTACGATAATGGATGCTCTGTACAAGAAGGGAGAGGCCGAGGAGGCGGAGAAGCTGTGGGAGACAATGGCGAAAAAGGGCTGCGAGGCAGATGTTGCGGCGTCCAACGTTAGGATCGGGCATTCTCAAGGCGGGACGCCGGAGAAAATCAAGGCTTTGATCGAGGAAATGAGCAATGCCGGGCTGAAACCTGACACGATCAGTTACAATTACTTGATGACGAGTTACTGCAAGAGCGGGATGATTGAGAAGGCGAAGAAGGTGTACGAGGAGCTAAATGGAAATGGGTGTAATCCGAACGCAGCGACGTTTCGGACTCTGGTGTACTATTTGTGTAGGAGCGGCGATGTCGAGAGAGGGTACAAGGTTTTCAAGAAGAGTGTGATGATGCATAAGATTCCGGATTTCAACACGATCAAGATTTTGGTTGAGGGATTGGTGAAGAAGAAGAAGATAAGGGAAGCGAGGGGAATGCTTCGGACTATCAAGAAGAAGTTCCCCGCAAATGTGTTGAATTCTTGGAAGAAAGTTGAGGAGAGTCTTGGTTTGGCTTCTGATTCTGATGAACAGTCAGCCGGGGATGAGGATAAAGAGGCTGCAGCCTGAGTATTGATGGGAAATTAAAAAACTTTTCGTGTTTTTGAACCTTTTTTCAGGGTTGATTTTAAGGATTCGTCACTCAAAACCTGCTACTGCATTTGATTGTGATCCATTTGAATTTGTGATCTTTGATCAACAATGCAGGATATGAAGGTTTAAAGTTGATTAGTAAAGTCGAATTTGGAGCTTGCGCGAAATTACGACGTTGTAAAAGCTTCACTTTTTTTTTTTATTCATTAGTGGAGGAACTTCAGAATTAGTTTTTTCCAATGCCTCTAGCGCTGTACTTTTGTAGCCTTTCCAGTGGTTTGTCATGTTTGCTGTTAGTAAAAAAGTACACCCTTTTTCTCCCTTTAGTAGAATCTGTTGTTTTACTGTTACTCGAAGTCGAAGATATGTTCTTAGAAGTGTTATGTTAAATAGTATGTCGTACTTGCACAAAATTTGAATAATGTGGTATCCAAACTGGAAGCAACTGAAGCGCAGCTGCCTAGCATTTCAAATCATTTGGTGATGAAGACAGGATTCAACACAAATATGGCATTATGCTAAATTTAGCACTAAGAATGTTATTGGCTTAGTTTGGTAGTGCTGTAGATTTTGAAAAAATTGCTTTTAGCTGTGCTGAAGGAAGAAGCAGCTTTTATAAAAAATAACTGAGTGTTTGGTAAACTATAATTATAGTAGCTGTGATGGTTTCAAAATCAACGTAATAGCGTTTGGTAAATTATGAGATTAAATTGTTGTGTATAGTTAAAAAATACAACTATATTATATTATACTATAATATAATATATATAATTATAATATAATATATATTTATTATTATATTTAATATAATAAAAACTATTATTATATAATATATTATATAATTATGATATAGAAAATAATAATAATATTAAAATAATAATGGAAAGAATTAA